GGGCTTTTCTTACAATCGACTGCAAGCTTGCATTCGGATCCGCCTCCATCCAATAAACAACCAATGGATTTGTTTTCTTTTTTGATTGGTTTTGCATGATTTCTGCATGTTATTAAGTTTTAAATGTATTTTTTTTTTCACAAATTTGCTCTGCCTCTTAAAAAGAGCCAGACCGATATATTGGCCGACCGATATTATCGGTCGATATTAGGCATTTTCCAAACTATCGGTATCGGCAGTTATAATGGCCGATAAATGAATATTTCAAAAATAAAAACGGACGAAACACTCTTCAACCATGTCATGAGTGTTGGAGTTGTATAGTTTGTCCACCAGAGGGCACTCTACACCGTTCCTGTCGGCAACACTCGTTAAATTGGGCACGATACATACATTGCTTGAATAACAATTAAAAGAACATCCCCATCAGTTCTCTTAACTCAAATAAGTATGACAAAATGTGTGACTATCATGTCCAGTTTAAAATAAATAAAATAAAATGAAATATCGGCCGATATATCGGAATATCGGATTTTAAAACCAAAAATATTTGTATCGGTATCTGCCTTCAAAATCCTTTATCGGTCGAGCTCTACTCTTAAACAACTATAAATTAAATCCTGATTTTTCAGTAGTGCCAAAAAGTGACGTTCGGAAGGGGATATTTGTTTTTTAATGACCCTACAAGTTCTATTAAACCGTCAAAATATGCAGAATATGTATATTCATATATATAAGACACTAAACTGTATTTATCAGACAAAATTACTTTTTTTTGTAAAAAAGGCAACAGCTACAGGTTTTTTGATACTAAGTAAAAAAATGCAGGAAAACAAAAGGCTGACAGCAAATAGCTTATTAATCCGTTATTAATATTTAATTGGTCCTCTTTTGTTTTTGCGTGCGTTTAAAATTTCTGTATGACATCCTGGCCGAAATTAAAATTATGTTGGCACAATTTTTCATTGTGTTATCGCAAATAAAAAAAGCACATCTACGCAATATGCTTACATAAATCTTTGAATATTTAAATAAATATCAATTTGTCCAATGCCGGACATCACTTCTGGCCACTACTGCATAACCAGTTTGCCATTCATAGTTTTTTGGGGGGTCAATAAGGTGTGTGAGGTCCGCGTTCTTTAATTTAGTAGACCAATTATTTCTCACTGCGTATTCATGTTTGTTTTTGTTTTGATGTCCAAATGCGCTGGCGATTTCACAATCTCACACGAGCAAGGTTTCTACAGTCTTGCTCAGCTTTCATAATGAGTTGTTTTTAGATGCTTATTGGGTTTTTATTGTGCATGTAAACGCTCTCAACGAGAAGCAGCGTTTCCTCGCGGCGTGTTTGGAGCGCGAGGTCATCACAGCACAGATGGTTTGTCTCTTTTTCTTTTCTCTGCACTTTTTCTCGCTCACTTCCTGCGTTTTTTTTTTCACGTCCTCCGAGTCCTTTGATTTCCCAGCAGCTCTTCTGTGGCCAGCTGGACGTTCTCCAAAAACCTGCACCCACCCTCCTGGTTTAAAGCGCCGTCTCCTCATCTTGAGATTTATGCCGCAATTATATTATGTAACATTTTCAGATACGGTGTCAAGCCATCAAACACGTGCATGTGGTTTCGATATGGCATGGCTATTGACATCAGAGCATAACTTACTGCGACTGATTGGCCTGGTGTCGTGTAATAAAGAAGAGCGTATCAGGTTTCTAAAGTGCGTGTCACTTGTCTGGGCTTTAAGTGAAATTGATTTAGGAGCCTCATCTGCAGCTGGCCGCAAAGACGATAGTGAATCGAAAGTGATTTTCTGCTTGTGTAACACCGGCGGCTGCAGCAGGTTCGAGTTGTGCAAGAATCAGACACCAGAGACGAGAGCGATAGGCGCCGGTATATCGGTCCGAGAAGATCTGATAAATGGACGAATGAATGCAGCAGTCGGAGCTGAGAGCATCCGTGTAATTTCACTATACCTCATCTAAGGCCGAGATATCCTGTGCATCAAACACGTACATGCTCCATTGAGTCGAATACATTTCTTTATCCGATGAGAAGACATGCACACAAACAAGGATGGAAACCCATTTACTGAATGAATCCCTTAAGGGGTGGTATAACGCCCTTTTCACAATGTAAAATATGTGAAAAGAGTGTGAATGTGAAGTTTTAGCTCAAAATACCCCACAGATATTTTTAAATGTCATGTTAAAATTGTCACTTTTTGAGGCTGAGCAAAAACGCACCGTTATTGTGTCTGTCCCTTTAAATGCAAATGAGCTGCTGCTCTTAGTCATTAATTAGCATATTCTGTCATGATAATCTATAAATAGCGTTCCCGGGGGCGGGGTTTATGTAAATTCCTTGCATGTTTCATTTTTAAAAACGTTTCTTGACTTCATATTTTTTTTTCTAAATTGAATATAATTTTTTATTCCAGATGGGCTTAAAGTTAGTGATGTCACTAACCCGGGAGGAATGTCGTGTAGTTCGCAGCTTTAGATAACCGACCAAAATAAATAAACAACCTGCAATTGTTACCTTGTCGAGATGTTTCTAGCTTATTTGACCCATCAAAATGAGTTTTGTTGGTATACATTTATGCATGTAGGAGGTTGGTTCTGGGATTATCTACTATTTTTGACTTCTTTAATTTAGATGTTAGCGTTTATTTTTTTAATTTAGGGAGTCAAACCGTTCGGTTTCCTTTAACAATTCCCTCCACACTTTTAAATAAGTAAAAATACTCAAGTTTAAGTCAATGTATTATCAAATTTTATTTTAAGTAAATACTGAACAAAAACAATTTTTTATAAAAAAATATAAAATAATATATAAATATATAATATATAAAAAATATATAATAAATATATAATATATAAAAAATAATAAAATATACCACGGATAAAATTCAAAAAGAATTGAACATTTAAACTCTAATATGATTCCTTATTACTTTTTAGTACTTTTGAGGAACTAAATATAAAGAAACTTTATTACTATAAATTTTAAATATATTTTAAAGCCTTTAACTGAGTCCAATCAATCAATCAACCAATCAATCAATCAAGGCCACAGCACATAACAGACACAGCCTGTGTTCAGCAGCAACGAGCAGAAGCTCTTCAACAACTGTCTAGGTTTCTCTCCTCTGCCATTATAAACTGTATTTATAATTCATACACTTGAAAAAATTCATAACCAAGTGACTCACTCACTGACTCACTCACTGACTCACTCACTCACTGACTCACTCACTGAGTCACTGACTCACTGACTCACTGACTCACTGACTCACTCACTCACTCACTGACTCACTCACTGACTCACTGACTCACTCACTCACTCACTCACTCACTGACTCACTCACTCACTCACTCACTCACTGACTCACTCACTCACTCACTCACTGACTCACTCACTCACTCACTGACTCACTCACTGACTCACTGACTCACTCACTCACTTACTACTTTTATTAACGTTTAAATTATTTTTTTATAAAAAAATATAAAATAATATATAAATATATAATATATAAAAAATATATAATAAATATATAATATATAAAAAATAATAAAATATACCACGGATAAAATTCAAAAAGAATTGAACATTTAAACTCTAATATGATTCCTTATTACTTTTTAGTACTTTTGAGGAACTAAATATAAAGAAACTTTATTACTATAAATTTTAAATATATTTTTAAAATACTTCAAATAAAACAATGCTATTTAGAAGCATTTTATTTATTTTAAAATAAAGTATAAAGTTTGTGAGGAAATAACTTGAAGCATCACTGTCAGTCGAGACGCTGCGGCTGATATGCACAGACTCAGGTAATTCACACACACACTTAATCTCTCTCTCTCTGTCTCTAAAAACTGGATTAATAACTGCATCAGATTGATATCAATGTCTCAAGTCTCCGTTACCATCTCTAAAATGACGTTTTGGAATTAGAAACAGAAGCATGGGATGAAATGCGTAAGAAATTAGTCCTACACAAAAGTGTTTTAAAGGACAAAATAACCTAACAAATATCTTGAAATAAAACATGAACAATATCTTGAAGTGTGGTATTATTAGAAAATAAGGCACACCCAATGTATTTGTATTTAGTTTTTACAGCAAAACTCTAAATATTAGGGGTGTCACGATTTCGATATTAAATCGAAATCGATCGAAATTAATTCAATGGTATCGAAATCGAAATAAAAAATGGTATCGTCGATACTGCCACGCCCCATGTCGCGTCCGTGATGGAAAGTTCGGATCGTTTTACTGACTCTATTGTTCAATCTCGTTCATCAAAATTAACTAAACTTTTTTTCTAGTCATTTCAGGGGCTTTAAATGTTATACTATTAAGTTATGTTACTTGTTTTTGTTATATTTTAAATTTGGCAATGGTGTAGTGTACATTGTGAACAAATTTATATTGCATAATGCATAAATGTGTAGTCTAAAAATTGCATAGCAATCTGCGCTTTACATTTTTTTTTTTAAATCGAGAATCGAATCGAATCGTGACCTTAGAATCGATAACTTAATCGAATCGAGGATTTGGAGAATCGTGACACCCCTACTAAATATGGATGTTTGTTATGAAATATAGGTTTAATCTACTTATTTTTTCCCAAAGAGAGAGAATCCCAGGCTGATCTGTCGCCCATAACTCCTGTAATTTCAGCAGACCTTTCTGAGTGTATCATTTTGATTTGGGTTCTCATCTAATCCTCGGTGGAAGTTGTTTTGCCCTCCTCCTTCCCGCCGTGTTGATTGAAGAGTGTGTGTGTGTGTGTGTGTGTGAAATTGCGTTGGCCTTTAACTGGATCCAGACTGTGCGTTCGCTCCTCAACCACATGTCGTGTTTCTGCTGAAGCCCCCGAGGGCCGCGGTTTATCACGCCGTCCGACGGGTAACAGAGTTGACATTCAGTACGCCGCTGGGTTGAGTGAGGCTAATAAAACTGGTTTTCCGTTCTCTCTCTCTTCTTCAGATGGACCAGGTTCAGAAAGCTGTTTTACATCACACGTTCAGCGCTTCGGCCTCGGCTAAAAGGAAAGCGGTCTCGTGTGGCGTGTGCCAGCTGAGGTTTAACTCACAGGTGAGTGTGTGTTCACCCTGACCTAAAACTACAGATATCATCATCCAACACAGTCGAGATGATGCCATAAAGCCAGTATTACAGGTCGTTTAATTGCTTTGATTGTGTGTTAGTTGTATTATCACTTTATGCATCTGTTTATGAATATTAAAGCAGTAGTTCACTGTTTTGCTGATAAAAAAAAACAAACTTTTGTTGATAATAATTTTCATCCAAGATATCCATGTCTTTATTTCTTCAGTCGAAAAAAAAATTACGTTTTTTTGGATTTTTCTCCATATAATGGACTTCAATGGGGTCCAAACGGTTCAAGGTCCAAATGAGAGTTTCAGTGCAGCTTCAAAGGGCTTTAAATGACACCAGATGATGAATAAGGGTCTTATCAAGCGAAACGATCGGCTATTTAATGAACAAATAACAAAGTTTAAGTTTTATAAGCTCAAATGCTCGCCTTGCTCTGTTCTGTGATGTGCGTTCGTGACTCTCCTGTTCGAACTCGTTCATCAAAATGAACAAATCTTTTTTCGAGTCATTTCATTCGTTGAATGAACCAAATGACTCGAAAAAAGATTTGTTCATTTTGACCCTTATTCATCGTCTGGAACCGTTTAAAGCCCTTTGAAGCTGCACTGAAACTCTCATTTGGACCTTGAACCATTTGGACCCCATTGAAGTCCATTATATGGAGAAAATCCTGGAATGTTTTAATTTCTTTTCAGACTACATTGTTCCTACTATTTTGGTCAACCTACTACATTGGTCACACTGTCTGTTTTTGATTCACTATAAAGAAACTTACGGTGAGAATCATGTTTTAAGAATCGTTAGTTTCATGAATTGGGCTACACTGGTTGTGCATTGTTTTTAACGTATAATAAAGAATCAATTCAGAAGAGTCATTTGTTTTAGGAATCAATATACATTTAAAGTATTGATACACTGTGTGTAAAATAAGGGATCCATTTATACTGTGAGAAATGACCGTCCAGCCATCTATTATGCTGAGACTATAGACATGCACTGACTATATTCATTGAAGGTGACTTTGAAATGGCCAAGAGGACAATTTTATTTTTCGTCCTCCATCCATCCGTCGTTTTCAATTCAGGAGAACGTCTCTTCAGGAGAGACATTTAATCCAAATATGATTATTTAAAACAGCACTGCCCATATCCTCTCTCATTTACGCCGTCACTGACAGATATTAAGCTGTAATATCCGCAAGACTGAGGCCTATCAAAACAGTAATCACAGCTCATCATGGGCATCCGTCAGAACCGTGTGATAGGATGAAGGGGCGGGGCTTCGTTTGACCATTCACAGCTCCTGTAGCTCTCCAGTAGCCAATCACAGAGAGCGTCGGGGAGAGTTTATGCATTCAAATCGCAGCGAAAGCTCATTATCATTGGTCGTTTGGGCTCCAGCTTCCAATCAGCTCCAATCTGAGCACGGGAAGCCTTTACATGGCACGTTTTCAAAAAAATAAATGGCTTCTGGAGAGTTACAGAGTCTAGCCAGACGTTCTGGGTGACTTTTGAAAAATGACATTTGGTTTTCATATATCGCCACTGGTCTATTTGAATATGAGACACTTGGTTATGGATTCTTCTGGCTGTATGAATTATAAATGAAGAGTTCAGATGCAAAAGCCTCTAAATGGCATTTGAAATTTTCTTCTTTAATGATGATTTTTATCAAACTTGTATATTTAAGTTCAGTAATTTCACTTAAATGGCAATGATAATTACCTATTAATTGTTATTTAAGTGAAATTACTGAACTTAAATATACAAGTTTGATAAAAATCATCATTAAAGAAGAAAATTTCAAATGGCATTTAGAGGCTTTTGCATCTGAACTCTTCAAATATAGTTTATAATGGCAGAGGAGAGAAACCTAGACAATTGTTGAAGAGATTCTGCTCGTTGCTGCCGAACACAGGCTGTGTCTGTTATGTCCTGTGGCCGTGATGGATGGTGCACTCAAAAAATTGCTGGGTTGTTTGAACCCAAATTTGGGTCAAATATGAACAAACCCAAATGTTGGGTAAAAAATCCAATAGAAAAAGTTACAGTTAAAAGTGAAAGTTGAAGGTGGGTTAAAATTTGAAATGACATTTTTAACCCAACATTTGGGTTCGTCCATATTTGACCCAAATTTGGGTTCAAACAACCCAGTATTGTATAGTGTGTGTGTGTGTGTGTGTGTATATATATATTCTGTTTGTAGCTTTTCTCTTTTAACACTGTACCGACTTAACATAACAATCATTAATTAAGTAAAAAAATAATTAATTAAATAGTAATTTTATGTCTATTCAATGTTTTCATCTGCAACAGTAATTTAATATCTTTGATAAATCTATCAATAAATATTGATTCAATGTGATCTTGCAAACTTTAATTGCACCAGTCAAACAGCACAGACGTCTGTGAATAAGGTGCAATCTATAATGAGCTTCATTTACATATAAAGGAGACATGTTTGTGCCGGAAAGAATGACAATGACTTTAATTAAACATTCACGATGTTAATTCAGCGCATTTAGAGCCTGGTTAAAACTGGAATGATGAAATAATCAGCATATCATATAATTAGACTATTATTTTCAGTTGATTGACAGTCCTACTTCTCATTCATGCATTACCAAGTTATATATAATTAAATAACCCAATAGTAATGCATCTTATGCTTATGTATACTCATTACATCATAATCTCAGAAGAATGTAATCGCTAAACTCAACTGAAATCAATAGAGAGTCGAGTCTCCCGTTCGAAGAGTGATATTTGTGTGTTCCCTATATAGGCAGCTCACTAGGTTTGGCCTAGTCTGAGTGATGGTGTGGTTTAAAGTGTGTGACAGAGAAGAAAAGATCTGTACGTGTGTGAGGTTATTATCCCCATAGTCCCGTACATTACACTTCCAGCTCACGAGGATGACTTTCAGGAAAACTGTGACACTTTACTACACTAATGTTCATTAGTTAATGTATTAACTAACAACGAGCAATACATTTATTACAGTATTTATATTTATCTTTATTCATAGTGCATTAACTAATGTTAACAAAATGAGTTAATGCACAGTGAAATTAATATTATAAATGCACAAATCTGTTGATATCCACGAGCATGAACACACTTGCTTTCACCTTCAAACCAGATTTATCATGGCTCAGTTTGACCAGGCCACACACACACACACACACACACACACACACACACACACACCGTTAGCGTTTTTGTTCAGTGAGTGTTAGAAAAATTATAGAATAAATAAATAAATAAATAAAATAAGAAATAATAGTATATATATATATATATATATATTTAAATCACATTTTTAATCATGAATAATTATATTTATTTGAATCATTCGACTGAAACATTTTAAATTAGGAATAATAAAAAATTTATTTATTATTTATTACTGTCCATAGCATAATTTATAAGCTAGTCTATGACTCAGATTTGGTGCTTGTTTTTTTAAGCTTTTACTTTAATATCGTGCAAACAACGTATTTCATAACATTCCTCTCAAGATGCATTTCTTTCCAACACCAGCTTGCTTGCCAGAGAGGTAATTTTATAAGGACATTAAGGGCAGATATACTGTTATGAAAAGCAATAAGACGTCATGACAGATCAGTCTTCTTTTGATATATTGTATTTGTACAAATAGCATTGTGGGATATGGATCATAATCATATAGATTAATATCACGGGGGTTTGTAAGTAACACATCATTTGAGCGGGATAGTGTTATGAAAATAGCTTTAACGTCAAGATAAATGGGGTGTTTCTCGACACCTTCCAGCTATTGGTTTCGTCGGTCAATCACAGGGAAGAATGCAGTGAAACTTGATAAATGTCATGTGTAATCTGTGCCGCAATCAAGCATTCAGTAAAGGCACGACACGGAAGAGGAGTCACAGGGAGGGCCGAGAGCAAACGCCCCAGCGAGGAGAAAGCGAGCGAGCCTTTAACTGAGTCCAATCAATCAATCAATCAATCAATCAAGGCCACAGCACATAACAGACACAGCCTGTGTTCGGCAGCAACGAGCAGAAGCTCTTCAACAACTGTCTAGGTTTCTCTCCTCTGCCATTATAAACTGTATTTATAATTCATACACTTGAAAAAATCCATAACCAAGTGCCTCATATTCATGTGAGTAACAAAAGTTAGAAATAAAAAAAATACGAATTGTTTATTCAATTTTCTGTCCGTCCGGACTGACTGACTCACTCACTGACTCACTGACTCACTCACTGACTCACTCACTGACTCACTCACTCACTGACTCACTGACTCACTCACTGACTCACTCACTGACTCACTCACTGACTCACTCACTCACTCACTGACTCACTCACTGACTCACTCACTGACTCACTCACTCACTGACTCACTCACTCACTGACTCACTCACTGACTCACTCACTCACTGACTTACTTACTCACTGACTCACTCACTGACTCACTGACTCACTCACTCACTCACTGACTCACTGACTCACTCACTCACTGACTCACTCACTCACTGACTCACTCACTCACTCACTGACTCACTCACTCACTCACTCACTCACTCACTGACTCACTCACTCACTCACTGACTCACTCACTCACTCACTCACTCACTGACTCACTCACTCACTCACTCACTCACTCACTGACTCACTCACTCACTCACTCACTGACTCACTCACTGACTCACTGACTCACTCACTCACTCACTGACTCACTCACTCACTCACTGACTCACTCACTCACTCACTCACTCACTGACTCACTCACTCACTCACTCACTCACTCACTGACTCACTCACTCACTCACTCACTGACTCACTCACTCACTCACTCACTGACTCACTCACTCACTCACTGACTCACTCACTCACTCACTGACTCACTCACTCACTCATAACTGACCTTATATTATATATATATATATATATATATAGTATATGTATTATATGTATTATATTTATTTATTTATGTAAATATGTTATATTATATATATATATTAATTAATATATAATGTACTGTATATATATATATATATATATATATATATATATTAAGACAGGTGTATTATAATTTTAACAAATATTTGTCAATATAATTTAATTATCTGTAGAAGTACAATTCAATTGTGCAATTATTATAGTGATCAATTTAATGTAACTATTTAATTTGCAATAAATATGAAAGAACCTAATTAACAATACTTTATATATTTTAAAATATTTTTGTATTAAGTTATATGTGCCTCATGGTATATATAAAAATTAGGGCTGTCAAACGATTAATCGCGATTAATCACATCCAAAATAAAAGTTTGTGTTTACATAATATATGTGGGTGCACTGCGTATAATTATTTTATATATATATATATATATATATATATATATATATATATACACACATGATTGTATATTTAAGAAAAAAATATTTATATATAAAATATTTATATTTATATATAATTTAAATATATAAAAATCGATATACAGTATATACATGAAAATATTTCTTAAATATATACAATATATATAAAATAATTATACACGGTGCACCCACATATATTATGTAAACACAAACTTTTATTTTGGATGTGATTAATCGCGATTACTCGTTTGACAGCCCTATATATATATATGTATATCTTATATCAAAATATAACAGGTTCCCGTCCCTATCAACCAACATTTGTACATTTTAAATTCCTTTCTCCAATGTTTCACAGCATCTTGTGTGAATTAGGTTTTTTTTTTCCGTTTCATTGTCCAGCTCATCACCTGTGGTGCCTCCACATCTGCAGCATAAGTCTGCGGCTCATTAGGCTTTGGATCAGGTCCAGAGAGTCCACACATATTGTGCAGCATCTCTGTGCTTTACGTATAGGATTCACACACTTTCACACACCGAGAGCTGTATTTGGGCTGGGTTAAAGATGGCCGCCTTTGCCCATTCCCCCTCACAGATGCATGAGTTCTGCTCGCTGGTTTGATGTGGACACACGTGAGCTTGTTTGCTCATGACGGCTCAGAGTCTGGTCTGATGTTGCTAACACCTGGTCTGGGCTGGCCCTCTCCACGGGTTGGCCTGTTTTGTGTTTTCTAGAGCCAGGCATTGGCCCACTACAAAGGCACCAAACACGCCAAGAAGCTGAAATCCTTGGACGCGCCCAAATGCCTCAAACACAAGAGTTCCCCGCTCAGCAGAGAAAACGCCAGCAAGGATCCTCCTAAGAGCCTTTCTCCCTCCACCGGGAACACTGACGGAAAAGGTAAGAGAAGAGGCGTATTTAATGCTTGAAAACATCACTGTTTCTGCGGCTCATGCTTGCTTGAATGAACTCCTAACCCTAAATATGAGACTGCGACAAACATAAATGATGACTCGGATCTTGTGGCTTTGAAGCAAAGCGCGTTGTTTCTTTTTTAAAGTGCTTTTTTAATGATTGGCGGATGATAAAACGGCAAAAAAAATAAATTAATTAAGACTTGAGGTGCATCACATTTAGCGTTGTTCAGGTCGCTGGTAAAACAGAAAACCGTTGCAATCGTTTAATGCAATGTTTTAGTAACACAACGTGTCTCATTGGAGTCAAAATGTATTTAATTGCACCAAAAAAAAAGTTTTTTTCTAGGGCTGTCAAACGATTAATTGCGATTAATCGCAGCTAAAATAAAAGTTGGTGTTTACATAATATATGTGTGTGTACTGTGTATAATTATATATATATATATATAAACACACACATGCTTGTATATATTTTATACATATTTTCATGTAGATTTATATATATAATGTATATTGTATGTAAATAAAAATATTTTATATATAAATAATTTTTTTTTCTTAAATATACAAGCAAGTGTGTGTATTTATATATATATACAAAATAATTATACACAGTGCACACACATATATTATGTAAACACAAACTTTTATTTTGGATGCGATTAATCGCGATTAATCGTTTGACAGCCCTAATTTTTTCATCCATTTTTCAAAGATTTATTGAAAGTAAAATAGCAAAATAAGCAGACTTGAGGTATAGTCACATACATTTACCATCGGTTGGCAAAATTTGAATGTGATGATAGTGATAAACATACAATACACATCCGAAGCAATTCTGCTGGCTAGCAAACCAACCAACCCTGAATACATCATCAAAATGATGATTCATATAGTAAAAGCTGTACTCAGTTGCAACTAAAAAAATTAAACTTGCGAAATGCAATGAATGAAGAACTAAAGAAAAACTCATCCAGGGTTACTGTTTCCAGCCGAAATCACTGCTGTCCAACAGCCTCTTAATAATGGGCAATTTTATACTATTGACGTTTTACTAAGATACGAATCTCCATGCAGAACATCTAAGCTTGAATCTGAAAGGAAATTTGAATTTGCACATCAAAGTCCATCAGGCGAAATTTTGAAATGACTGGATTTTGCTCATGAAATTGAATGTAATGTTAAAGGAACACTCCGTCTTTTTTGGACTTTAGCTTATTCACCGTGTCCCCCAGAGTTAGATTAGTCCATAATACCCTTTTCATCTCTGTGTGTGCTGTAACCCTGTTTGACGCACCCACCGCTAGCCTAGCTTAGCACAAAGACTGGATATAAATGGCTACAGCTAGCATACTAATCCTAATAATAAGAATAAGCTAAATATGAGATGGTAGGTTGGCCTTCACTTCATATAAGAAGGTACAAACACTGGCTCATATTTGTATACAAGGCATTAGTCGGCCAGCTTCCTCAATATATGGATAGTTTATTAACTTTTAATAGTCAAGGGTATAATCTACATTCAGATATATTCTTTTAAATGTTCCTTTAATGAAGATTTATTTATAGTGCATCAGCTGCTTGGAATGAGATCCAAAGTTCATTGAAACTTAATGAGTTCAAGCTACATTTAAACAAATTATTCAAATCTGTCTGCACTTGCTCTTAACATTTAATCTTGTTTTATTTTTGTATATGTGTGTGTTGTGTAATCTGTTTTATGTAGTTATGTATATTGTGTTCTGCTATTTTGGCCAGGGCTCACTTGTAAATGAGATATTTATCTCAATGTGACTATTTCCCTGGTTAAATAAAGAATAATAATAAAAAAAAGTCCAAAAGTCCAAAAAAGTCGGAGTGTTCCTTTAAATGTTGAGCACACCTTTCCATCGAGTCAAATCTAAAGATCAGCAGCCGGTTGCAAAGAAACACCTGAGGGTTTTCTGCTTTCATTGATCTGGTCCCAGAATATCCGAAACTTGAGTGTTAATTCAACCTGGGCCAGTAAAAGCCACCCAGAAACGGTACGAAAAATGCACGGATCTGCTTGAGTTCTGCTGTTCAGTGCAACAGAGGAAACATTCATCATATTTCCCTGGACAAGAGTTGACCTCCACTTCTATTTCTGTCACAAAGATCTCTCTCTGAACTGGAAACAAGAAATATCTTCCAAGAATCGGCTTAAAGGCCATAATTTCTATCCTAGGCTAGGCGTCTCTCAGTACTTTAGTTGATGTTGCACCAGTACAAACTTCATATTCATGTGCGCCGGTGGAAATTAGCTTGACGCTCACTTCAGGTTCTGCTTTTCCTTGACCTCTCATGGTCTCGATGTTTTTCCCGAGTGCAGAGAGGTTATATATCGCTCTCGTGGTTCATTAGGACTCATTCTGCTGTTTCAGATGATCCAAAGCAAACAGCATCCTCCTGTGTGTGTGTAGCGATCCAGGGGTTGGCTGTATTCTCTGCAGGATTACAGCTGGATCAGGCGGCTGGAGTTTAATGGCATAAAATTGTGTACGCAAGCACATCGTGAGATTAGTTGCACTCAACACATGTCTGGAACCTGTTCTGGAACCAGTAATTTACTCCACTTCTTTTTCTTGTTCTGCTTGTTTAAGCCCAGCAGTCGAGTTCGCCCAATAAAAAAGTCTATTTGTACTCAAACACCTGGTGTAATCTAATTTGCGGCTCTTTAAAGCAAAAGTGTAGCCTGAAGTTAGGTTTGTCTTATAAAGCAATGAGCCGGATGACGTGCCTTTAGATGCAACAATAAACACATAAACACTAAAGATGCACTAGTGTCAGCAGTTTGTGTGTTGTGCAATATTTATAATAACATGTGTCTGTTGCCAGCACGTCTTGTCAACGCTTTGGGGTGAATTCACTAAATAGTTGCAACAGTTAATGCAAAAAAATGCAAAAAAAAAATTTTCTTTAAAAACAAATAGTTTTTAGGGCTGTCAAACGATTAATCGCGATTAACTGCATCCAAAAAAAAAAAGTTTGTGTTTACATAATATATGTGTGCACTGTGTATAATTATTTTCTGTATATATATATATATATATATACAGTATATAAATACACACATACTTGTATATTTAAGACAAAAAAAATATTATTTATATATAAAATATTTATATTTATATATAATATAAATTATATATAAATCTATATACAATATACATGAAAATATTTCATAAATATATACAAGCATGTGTTTGTATTTATATATATATATATATATATATATATAATAATTATACACAGTGCACCCACATATATCACTGTATGTAAACACAAACTTTTATTTTGGATGCGATTAATCGCTTGACAGCCCTAATAGTGTTAAATCTTTTTTTTTTGTTTTATTGAAGTCAAAATGTATCCAGTAGTGGACAAAAGTGATGTCCAACCTTGGAAAAGAGTGACATCTTTAAAAAGTAAACATTTCGTCAGCATATTGCGTTATTGTGCTTGCAGTCGATTGTTTAATTTGTGATAATAACACAATAAAACATGACAATTTGTCCAGACATCAGTTTTGGCCAGGCTGTCATACAGAGCAATTGTGAAAACATGCCAAAACAAGAGAGAACCAACGAAATATTAATTACTGATTATGTTGTAGTCAATGTATGATTTTTCCTGAGTTTTTTTTAAATCTGTTGCTGTAGTGTCTTTTTCCTAAAATAATTTTGTCAGATACCAAGTTTAGTGTTTTAAAGCAACATAAATACATCACTTTTGGCCACTTTTATGTGTAAAAACAAAAATGTATCACTTTTTCTATTAACATCCTTTTGCATTTACTTTTATTATTTCTTTGCATACATTGTTTGTTTAATACAGTTTTGTCTTCTGCTTCATGCATCATTATTTTGACTGCATGGCAATCCAGTTTAAACAGGCACTAAATGTGCTAAAATAAGGATGCACTGTATTTAAAGGTGCTATATGTAGTTTTTAGCGGCCTCTATCGGTGATGTTTTAGATTGCAACCAATTTTTCCAAGAGCGCTTGTGCTCAAAAACAAGAGCGATCACTCATGGTACAATAGGGCTAGGTAATAAATATCGATTTCTCGATACTAATCGATTCTCATTTTTACGAACCGATATCGATTCTTAAATCTCAAGAATCGATTAGTCATCCTGTTTCATTTGAATGAATGGGACATTGTATCGTGGCTGCGCACATCCAAAAAATCGCAATAATCTTTGTCCTTTGTTACTATTGATATGAAACAAAGTCTCACTTTTCAAATTACGTCCATTTTCTTTAGAAATTCAAAAACATAAATAGCGTTTTGTCGCTGTGGCGTGAGATCGCTCTGGAGAAGCAGCAGCGCTGATCTCTCTTCCGGCTTAATAATACCAGTCACAGCGCCAAATAAACATGAATGAGCATCTGAAAGTGTGTTAAAGATACAGTACAACTTATCCAAATCCGTATCATGTCACATTGATTCACTCAATCAGCGTTTCAACCGTGGAAAGATGTCAGTTAAACAGCTTGTAATCAATGTATCGTCATATTTACCTCAGAAAACCCTCATAAACTCGTTAGTCAGACAGAAAAAATAACTCTAGAGAGGAGCATTTTGCTAAATACATACACCATATTACATATGCATTATAATCTTAATGTTCTTCAATATTTAATGCATATTTGAATAAATCTGGCAAGTTTTTATGACAGCCACCATTTAAATGTTTATATTTCATATAATCTTCTTATTATAAAAATAAATTAAAGTGTAATTTAAGTGTTTGTATAGCTACAAAACAGTTCATTATTACCTTAATATTAGGCTAATGAAGTCTATAGGCTACAACTAGACTCCCATAGTTTACAGCATTAGTTAAGAGATTTGATTTCCTTGAGAAAATTTGCCATTTATTGTAACTCATATCCAAAATAATCGAAATCGAATCGAATTGCAAGCTTGTGAATCGAAATCGAATCGAATTGTGAAAT